AACTCTTATTTAATACATCATCAAGCACACGATGAGCGGATATTGTACTCTTTGAAACATGAACAAATCTAGTATTGGAAGGATTTTGTGTACAATGTACAAAGATCACTCCAATAATATTTCGCGATAACATTTTTGCTTCAAAATTTAATAATCAAGTTATATTATAACCATTTTGACGTCTTCCTGCGGTAACCATCGACTTTTATAGTAGTAAACAATTTTATGAAGTCAGATAAATCCTAAGGAATAATGATTAATCAATGTTTCAAATTACATTTTTTAAACAAATGGAGCTTATTTATTAAATACTAGTACGAATCCCGTGCGATGCACGAGTAAGAGATATTCATTAGTATTTATAAATTAAAAATGATTATTAGATAATATTTATAAATTAAAAATATTGAATCAATATGTAATACGTTTACCTATATTAATTTATTGAAAGTATTATATAAATTTCATATCGTGCAAAATTACATAAAATATGTCAATTTAATTAGTATACAACCTGGTGCACGTAACTGATAATAAATTACATTATATTTATTTCAAAATAAGTGTCATTTTAAAATATTTATTCAAAAATTCGATTGGACTACAATGTGATTCCATAAAATAATCCTTTTGGTAAAATTTTATCATATATTTAAAAATCTATGTGAATAATAAGTACAGTTATAAAACTTATAGTGTTCATTAATTAAAATGAATTTAATTTTGTATAAACTATCAAAATAAAAAAATTTAAGTTGTTGAGTAATTTATTAAACTATAATTAATTGACTATTTCATTTATGCCTAAGTTAATATTGACACGTAAGTTATGAATAATTATTTATTTGACTTTTAAATTTGAAACCCAAATTTGAACTATACGATAAATTTCCTTATATATATTCCCTTATATATAAATTCCCTTATATACATATTATCTCACAATTTTCTAGATTTGTTGTCGGTTAATTTTTAAATTTATTAACCAATATTTGTTCAAAGATGTTTATAATTTTCAAGAGGAATACATACCATTTTGTCAAATTATCATTAGAATTTTTTGCAAATTATTATAGAAATATGCTAAATTTTGAGAAACATATTACCTTGATTTTAATCAACCTAAAATTCGACTTTCATACCCATAAAAAAAAAAAAATCATTTTTCAATATCTTTTTGTTCGAAAAAGATACATTTATCCTTTAAAAGAGTTGGATTGCGTAGAGTTTTCATGGTGTTTTGCTTGATGAGTCTCATGATTTCATATCAATACATAATATCTATTTGTTCTTTATGTTTTGCTTGATTTTTTGATGAGTGGGGATACAATAACAACTCAGAGTGTGTATGTTATTTATAGGCAAATTAAGTGTTAATTTAATAGGTGAAAAAAAATATCTCGATATTAGATGATTGGAGCGTTAGAATGATATTATCTAAATATTTGAAATGATATTCGCGTACATTATTAAAATTTGGAATGATTTGATATTTGTCCATCAAATTAAACAAAAATTATATTTGGTAATATCTCTTTATTTTAGTATAAAAAATAAATGAGCTCACTTATGCTTTTTTTTTCCTAGGGTTGTGATATTAATACATAAGCTTAGCCATTTCAAAATCTTTTTAGATTAATAATTTAGTTATCCACAAATTTATCAAATAAGTGTTTGATGAAGATTTATCAAAATCTTTTTAGATTAGTAGTTAGTTATCCACAGATTCCATCATGAGTTATCCACAAATTATTGTTCCAATATTATCTCTACACCATTAATTTTGAATTCAAATTGTGAGTAAAAAAAAACTACACTATTATTGTTTTCAAGCTTTCTATAAATAGAATGTCAAAGGTATTATTTATTTCGTCAAAAATTTCCAAAAATGATTTAACCAACAACCTTTTTATATATAGATAGATACCAAGCTAAGAGTGTTTTGCAACTTTTTAGTTCTTTTTAATTATTTTCCAAGTAAATTTGCAAGAAAAATGATATTAATATATTTTTAAAATTTTAAAATAAGTTAATCAGTTGTGACCTTAGATGTGTATCTGGGTTGGGGTTCGTACGATAACATTGGATTGATTCAAAACTTCTGACTTCATAATCACAACTTCTTTGTCGACTTCAAATAGAATAAAAGCTAAAAAAACAGAGATTGATCAAGAAAAAAACGGGTCACAAAATATATATATATCAATAAAAAAACGGAGCTAATATCAAGTGTAAACTAAGAAAAGGTTATTCATAGTGGGAAAAAAAATAACCCATTACAAAGCCTGAAAGGAGAGATAAAAACTGGAAGGGATAAAAACTTTCTCTGGTAAGAAGATGCCATAGCCAGCCCTTCTTGGAGTGAGCAAATATATTCCAACACATCAGAAAAAAGAATGTTCAAATCACTTCCATAGATTTTCATCTTGAACCTTTCTTTTGGCCTTATAAAATGGGTTAAATATCTTCACACTCAAACCTCTCTCTTCGTAATCACAACCAAATAATTCATAAAAAAGATGAAACTGTTTTTTCTTTCGGCTGAAGAAAAAAAAAATGATAATGGCATAACAAACAATCACTTCACTCATAAGTCAAAAGAAGATAAATATTATTCAACCAGTGAAGTAGATTACATTCAGTCCACAAAGCTCTGCAACACTATTTAGTAAACACTATAACAACGACACCATAACAGATCCAAATCATTTTTATTTTCTAGTTCTCGAATTTATTTGCAGCAATCAGTAGTAGAAAGCACCGTAAAGAAACACTCAAACTCACCTGCCGATTCAGGAANGGAAAAAAAAAAAAAAGAGATAATAAGAAGAAGAAATAAATGAGAGTTGAAAATCGGCAAATAAATCGAATCCCAAATTCACCTTGCTCAGAAGAATAAGGACTCTCAATCGCTGTCGCTGTCGCTGCTGCTGCTGTGGCCGTGTTCATGGCCTTCCTTCTTCTTCTTCTCCTTCTTCTTCTTCTTCTCGCCGTCCTTGCCGTGCTCGCCGCCCTCGCCGTGGATCTTGTCCTTGATCTTGTCGACGAACCCCTCCTTGTGCTCGGGCTTGTGCTCGCCGCAGCCGTGCTCGGGTTTGTGCTCGGTGTGGGAGGCGGCGGCCTTGTGCTCGTCGTGTTTTTCGCCTTCCTTGTGGCCACCCATTCCGAGCTTCTCCTCGATCTTGTGGATGATTCCTGACATCTTTCTTTTTTCTCTCTCTTGTTTAAGAATTGATGAAATGCGAATTAGGGATTTGATGTGAGATTTGGGGATGGATGAGTGGCGAATTTATAGGGGGAGGGGATATTGTTGNTTTCTATCGTTAGAGAAAAAAAAAAAAAAAAAGAAAAAATAAATAAAGACATTATTGTTGTTTATATTATTAATTTATTCGTAAAACGTTATCCGGATTAATTAGGGGTATATTTTTTACGCGGATGGGACACTGAGATGCACGTGGCATCATGTGTCGAAGGAAAACAAAACTTCGATTATTAAAGTTGGTCCCCATACGATTCACTTTTTCACCTACAACATATTAATAAAGAACTAGTACTTTACCCGTGCGATGCACGGTTGGTATTTTTTCTGAAACTTTTTAATATTAACATTAAATTTAATGCACTTTGTAGTTATATAATATATGATAAATGGACAAAGAACAAATTAAACTTCATAAATTGGTAAAGACTTATTTGTACACAACGTTTTGGGTCTGATTTGGCGGCAAGTCATCGTCATTACAGACTAATATCTTCAACCCACTTTGATTGGTGACACGGGAGGCAGCAACGTATAATTGCCCATGACTGAACATGGGCTTCTTAAGAAATAAACCAACATGCAATAACGATTGTCCCTGGCTCTTGTTGATAGTCATGGCATACGATACCATAATAGTAAATTGTCGTCTCTAGAACTTGAAAGGAATTCTAACATCGGAAGGAGTTATCGTCATTCTAGGAATCAACACCTTCTCTCCTTTGTGATCTTCAGAGAGTATCTTACACTCAAGAACATGAGCGGATAGTCTTGTCACAACCACCCGTGTCCCATTACATAAACCCATAGAATGATCCATATTCCGCAACAACATGACAGGGGTTCCGATCTTCAAATGCAACTGATGATTTGGAATTCCCGAACATTTGATGCTATTCAAGAACTCGGGCGTACGTTCAGAAAGAAAATTACTATTAGAGTCCGACTTGCAAGTATTATCGGAGCTCAAGTATGTATTACCTTCTGATAAATTCAAGGATGTCATGTATTCATTGACGGACTCAACAACATCAAGCGTCGGTGCTAAATGGAACCCTAAGATTAAAAGGAACTGGTGCCGCTGGAACTTATATGGAATCCTAAGATAAACCTATTTATAATATGATAATTTACTTAGGCAGTTAGACAAATGAGCTGGTAGTGTATAATTTTAATATGGACTATACTTGATTAACTAAATAATATTTACTAATATTTTTATACTTTTTTTATACAAAAAGACTGACCTTGGCTCTTAAATAAAATCCTAAAATTAGAAGGAACTGTTAATTGGAAGCAGATGAATCTATTTATATTAAAAATAAAAAAAAAATACCACTCTACAAATTTAGCATGATGGTACTTCGATCCTGTTTACTGAATCACATAAAAATTTATCTGAACAAATTGATTTCATTGACAAATAAAACCAACCTAACATTGAAAAAGAAAAACACACCAAATTTATTGGTTTGCCTTGGCTTTCGGTTTGCCGGTTAGAGCTCAGAATAAAACTTGGCAAATAACAGTGTCATTACAAATGTAATACAGTAATATTGTAATGCCTGCTAAAGTCCAAACACACACATTAATGGTTGATAAATAATGCAACAAAAGGTCCTTGATAGTTTTTAGGACTCCAACACCAGTTTTGCAGTGCAACAGCCCAAAAAATTAAAAAACAAATATTAACTGCTCATTGAGGAAGAACAGGAAGAGCAATAGTCCGAGTATTATACGATCCACAATGACTGCATTTCTGACCAACTATGTGGAAATAAACTTTTGTAGTATCATTGCAGTCGTTGCAAAGAATCCACACCTGAAGAAAAGAAAAAAAAAAAAGGAACACCAGAAATATTTTACTTGCAAACCAATGATCAAAAGACACAACATAAAAAGTATTGTCATTGAAGCAAAAACTTAGCCAATAGCTAGCTAGCACAATATTTCCAATAAATATGAAAAGAGTCGGAAATACTCCAAACTACCTCTTAGTCGCCTATTTATCACCAATCTTTTTTATCTTTGCAGTGTGGCCTAAGTAGCTAAATACATTGGAACTGTTGAAGTTGAAAGTAAAATGACCTTCACGAACATTTTCAAATCCCAAATACAGAGTGATCGAAATTTAAGCTCCTGGATTTGTACATCAAGATCTTGCATCATAGGCTAATAATAATAAAACAAAGACGCAAATTTCCCAATTTCAGGAAAGACATTATTTAACCAGTTTTCTAGTCGCAAATTCCACAACTTATTAATAATCATAAGTTTAAAGTCTAAACCAATAGCGTTTACCTCTTCATCTATTCTCTTCCAAGTCCCCGTCATGTCCATGATCGACTTGGAACATATTGGACAACAGTACCTATAAATTTGCAAACAGTAACTACAAAAGAAAGAAAAAAAAAAGACTACAAAAAATACTTTGATTTTCCTATTTGCTGTAAAAAATTATTGTTGGGACTTGGGAGATTCATATTAGCTCATTACTTCTCACCTCATAATAACATTCACACAGCATCGTGTGATCGCATTTCATGAAGGTTATATCCTTCAGAGAGTCGAACAAATACTGTAAAATGCAACAAATGCAGAGTGTTCAGACATGTAAGAGTAACATTTTCGAGAGATAGTGAAAATAAGCAAAAGGTGAAACCTCGTAACAAATTGGGAAATGATGTCTCATTGAGTTCTCCACACAAAGGTGATTGTTGCGCAAACTAACTGAATAACATGAGCCTGTGTAATGAAAATTAAAGAGTAGTTAAAACGATGATGAACCACAATAGTTAAATTTATAAACAGGAAGCACACAGAAAAGCGTAATAGTCAAAACGATGATGAACAACAATAGTCAAAACAAAAATCAAATTTTTCATTAAATGGACTAAAATCCTTGTGTAAGATAGCATTTTTACAGAATGCTAACCTGGCTTCAGGTTCAGAAAGTGTTATCAAGTTCTATCCAGAAAGTATATAGATATTTTCTTAATATAAACTTTGTCTCACTTTTCTATAATAATGAAAATATGCAATATCAATTGGGCATGCCTTAAAAATGGAGAGACTGAGTTATTATATTTTGCTAACCTTAGAAGTTCTCTCCTTTTCAAGATCTCAGTTGAAATCCATAAGCATTCCACACATTGCAAGCACCTCGAACAAACGACTTTTTTCACATAATTTGTCGATTACGCATACACCATTATTACAAAATATTTTATGGGGATACATAAAACTTATTTATGGATTATAAGAAAATTAATGAACTTACTTGTCGTCATAAACCGGAACTCCCCAGCACTCGTCGTGAAATCGTACGTAAACTTTGTCTGCAAATTGAAAAAATCTTGATTAACTCAACTTTTGAGAAGGGAAAAATGCAATGTTGTATTGTATTGCTACAGTTTATACATTTTTACTTTTGTAATCTTACCGCTATTTTCCGTAATCCAATCGCACCTCTTGATTGAAGATAGAGAAGATAATGAAGAAGCTGAGCAAGTTCTTTGCAGCCTATTTGGATACTTTTTTTTTTTCAGATTTTTGGAAAATAAGTTGTGTTTATTAGCATTTGGCATCTCTTTTTCCTTGGAATTGATTTTGATCTTCTCTTGAACCTGTTTTTTGACATATACTTGCTTGGACATCCTAAAAAAATTAAATTAAATGAGTTAATGTAGTATACTTAGAACAGGANTTCATACTTAGTACATATCAATATTAGCCAACAAATAACCAGAAATGATGTTGCAGTGACCTATCAAAAGATATCCACAAGCTCATAAATTTGGGAAAGACATGGGAAGACTGAACAGTGGCATTACAGCAAATTGCCCACAAATTCAAGGGTATCTTTTTCCAAATATCCGAAATAAGTTTAGCCCCTAAATTCAAATGACGAACTCGGCATGGAAAAAAAGCTCTGATTTTCGTTTGAAACAGAAAATAAAGGCTCGACGAAGAACAACGAACAACATAGCATGAATTATAATCGATTTTTCTGAACTTAAGACTTAAATTCTACTAACATGAAAACATGTACTTATAATCAAACTTTTTTCTGAAAGTTTCGATGGTTTACCGTTTGCCAGTCAAAGAAGAAGAATTGGGGTGGAAAACGTTGATTTTTGGTCATCGAACCTTGTTTCGTCTCAGCCGCATGAGGTAGTCTCAACCCCGCGAGAATCCTCGTCTCTGTACACATCAACTACAAATACTTTAATGCTTTTTTACATTTTTTTTTTTTCAGAAAGCACACCATTATTAACCAGAACACTTTTTGAAAAAGAAAACAGAAACAAAAATACCGAGTTGCTTCATCTTCCAGCTGCATTAGGCGGACACAAAACATAGAGACTGAATTATATAAACCCCAGCCGATTGGCTTTTCTGTCCCATCAGTTACAAGAACAACGTCTCCTGTTATAGGTGGCGGCCTACCGATTATTCTATCAACAGCACCGCTGTATACCATCGGGCTACCATCTTTGAACAATTGAGTTTTACCCTTTTTCAGGACAACCTTAGCACTGCCTGTTCATAATTTCCTTCAAATAATAATACAAATGCGCTACATTGATAAAGCAGAATAATGTACATCACATCAGTGGTAATTATCCAAGGTAAGCAAAATACATTTCCCCTATAAATAGATAAAGGTACTGACTAAAACAAACCAAAAGACACCAAACTGACATTCAATAACATGGTTTGCTCCTCTAAATAGATAAAGGTACAGACCGAATAATTTCCAGCACAATCTCGATATTGTTTTCCGGATTTCAAAGAAAAACTCAAGAATCCAAACTAAAAGATATAAAGCAAGTGGAAAATTATCAGTTATTTAATGCGATAGTTGCTTTTACCACTTTTAGAGTGACTGGAAGCAATTTCTTGAAGCGTTGTGGCTTTGGGTAGCGCGGCGGCAGAGACGGTGAGCGTTCTCGACGCCAGGAAGCTCTCGGTTCGGTGCCTCAGGTGATCTCGGTATCGCCGGGTTAAACGTCGGCCACAAAAAAAATATAAATAAACTTTTGAAAAAGGAAGAGAGAAGGAGGATAAGGCATGATTTATGGAGGGTGAATACAGACCGTATCAGCGAATACTTCTTTATAGACTTTCTACATGTTTATCTCTACGGAAAATATGGAATGATTTGTTAGGATCCTAAACAAATTAGCCTGATTTTGGGATAGAAAATCTGTAACAAATCACGTGAATTGTGATATGAAATGATTTTTGCCAAATGAGCGCGTGAATGAGTTTTCGTATGTTTAAAATAGATTTTTAAAATGGTTGCCATATTCAGTAAGTCAAAAAGGTTGACCGCGAATTTTTTAAAACTTTCCCAAAAGGATTTATTGACCTCTCTTTTTCAATATATATAGATTTCCACAACAATTGACTATTTTTGAATAAAACTACAAACCATATAGTACATGTATGTATGGACTATAGAGAGAGGAGGACCCATCAATGTAAATAATCCGGTAAGGAAAAAAATTTATGTGATTTTCAGAATTGATCTTTGTGAGATTTTTCTAAAATTAAAAAAGAAAATAAATTGAAATGGAAAGAGTAATGGTAGAGAAAAGAATAAATATATGCTGATAGTTGCTAGTTGCTACCGACTATTCCAAGCATCTGGTGCCAAAATCAAGACCCAATCCATCTTTGCCAGAGCGACAAGTGGCATCAAATGAACGGATAAGATGGAAACACAGTTCCCCAAGTAATAAAGTCGTCTTTCAGGCTCGAGTAGTGTAAGCCACACACGTGGCTAGCCTTTAATAAAAGTTCTGTTGCCGACAAAAAATGAGGTCGGCAGTGGTTTTTTACATTAGTCGTTCATGATTTAAGTAATTTGAGTAATAAATTTGTAGGGAAATGATCACATGCCCACGATAGGCACATGTTAATATGTTCACCGTTTATGTGGTATGCACAGATTAGTAATGTTAATTTGTTAAAAAAATACATCATCAATATGTGCATGTCACATAAGCGGTGGGCATATCTATATATATATTAAAGTGAATCAGCTGGTTTAGAAGTTCTTTTCCCACCTAGAGAAATGTATTAATTGTTGTAATTAAATTATCTTTTTAACCGTATTTATCTAATTTTAAAATTACTATTCACTTTCAAGCATTTAACTATAATAAATAAAGTCCATTGCTTGTGAATTGTGATTAAACTCTTGGATTCAATGCATTGGGATTTGGGCATAATAATGACAATCCTTCCTTCAAGTTTATCACCAAAACGTTACTTATACAAATTAAGAAAATGATTAACAACATCCATTCTATTATCATACTAATTATTTTCTTCACCTTTCAATTTTTTATATTATCGGTTGGAAAACAATATATAAAAATTAAATCATGAAGATAATGAGTAAATTGGACAATTATGCACACATATTTTATAACTCATTAGTTATTTATTAGTTCCACAATAATAACCAAATTATTTTACAATAATTGAACTTTAAATTTATCTCTATTATAATAAATTATGATTGTGATTCACATTTCTTTCAATAATATAAATAACATTCAATGTTAATTTTTTGGAGATATTGAATTTGATTTTCAGAATTTTTACAATTTGTTTAATTGAAAATCTATATTATGCAAAATAATAAAATAATATTTTAGAAAAAAATATCAAAAATGTATATTTTAAGTTTAATCCATTATATATTTTTCTAATTCCACAATTTATTACGTATTATATGTATTAGGATATGAAACTCAATATAAATAACTTAATTTAAATAAAGTTACTTCAACATACAATTGTGAAAACCAAAGTAATAAATGAAACAGTGTAATATACATATTTTCTTAGTATGAAATAATATGGGTGTATAGTTATTCATATTTTGATGGAATATAATATTCTACTGGTAATACTTAATTCTCATTATTATTATTATTATTATTATTATTATTATTATTATTATTATTATTATTATTATTATTATTATTATTAAATACTACATCTATTATCTAAAAATAAATTTTGTCAATTTTCGAGTATGGTATATCATTAAAACAACGAATATAGTTGCATGTTTAAGTAAATAATTATATTTATGCATAATTATTCATTAAGACTTACACTCCAATATTCATGACTTTGAAAATAATTTGTTTACCCGTTTGTGGATAATTTAAACAACAAAAAATAATTACTTGCACAAAGACTTAATTCAAAAAAATAACACATTTCTCATTATAGATTAGTTTAAATATACTATCATTTCATAATCACGCATGTGAAGTGCAAATAATAGATATAAACTATACATTAAGGTGATTAATTATTTTAATATAAAAAAGTATCAATGGTTTACCACTTGATAAAAATAGCAATGCTTATTATTGTGATATTTCTCAAATATGCAAATATCGATACAAGAGTTCATCAATCTGATTAATAACAAACCGCAAATTTACACAACCAAATTTTATATTTTTACTTTATAATTAATTTTAAAAAAATATATAAGAGAGAGAGAGAGAGAGAGGGAGAGAGAGAGATACGATATAAAGTTATATTTGTCATAAACAATGTAATCTATTCGACTAAAAGGGAGGAATTTTGAAAAAATAAAATATAAAAGTATCATCTACGGGTATTGGGTACTAACATGCATATCATATAAAATGTTTCTCGAAAATACTGAATAATTATTTAATTTTACAAAACAATTTATCTGAACTTAGGTTGCTTTTATTAATATCAACTAAGAATATGAAAAAGATTAGAAAAAAAAACAGAACAACTTAGAATCGAACATAACATTAAAATTTAATTGTATTTATGGGTAAAAAGTACATAAATATTTCAGAACTAATATTAAAAAAATATAAATGATAACAAACAAATTAAGAGAGTTACAGGATTTCAGAGAGGTGCAACTCATGTATTTAATTGTGAAATAAAGAGAAAATTCATATTGATTTTAGTTTGATTGAATATGTTGTTTGACCCAAAAATAAAAAAAAAAAATTGTTTATTTTTTTATTTTTAGTTGATATAATTTATTTTATTTTTGTCAAAATATTGACGAGGCCAAATTGACGTATGATACTTTTATGAATAAACAATAATTATACAATTATAATTCTCGAAAAAAGGCATAACAAGTTAATTTATTATTAATTTTTTATTAATATATTTATATTGTTTTTTATTTGTATAGTTTTTTATACTTTTATTTTTCTGCTTTTAGATGGATATTTATTGTCACATTTTTTATACAAAATAAAAATCAGATGATTTAATGTTTGAACATGACTTTATAACTTGGTTTCATTTACGGGCAAGAAATAAGCTAATATTGCTGAATGATATTGTGAAAGAAACAAAATGATGACAGAAAGAGCGAGGATGTCTCAACTATAAAGGAGAGAAAGAGTGACAGTGTGATTTGGACTGTAAAGACTGAATATGACAATATATATTTATCACTCAATTATTTAATGCAATGTTTGTTATATATATACCACGTTTTACAATGGTTTTGGTCCTAAATGATTGAATAGTCTTAGCCCCAAATACATAGTTTATTTAAATTATTTTATTTTTAGTTGATATCATTTGTTTCATTTAGACTTAAATTTGAATTCATATAAAAGTTTGTGATTAAAGTGATTGCCTGCATTTTAATCTCTTGATTGATCCACAATTATGCAATTGTAATGTTTTATGAATAAAAATAGCATAATGTGTAACTATTGTGAATTTTTTATTATTATACACATGTTTTTCTTCTTAAGATGATGACATGAATATATCATCGCTACTGAATCTTTGCAAACTACTATAATGCATCAACTACTTTTTCTTATCATATATCATAAAAGCTATTTTATATCAAAATAAAATTTACTTTTTTATAATTTATACAATAAAATTTAATTTTTTTCTTATCATTTTACAAATATTCTATCAACGTAGTTCTAAAAATTATATTAAATCCATTCTGTGTGAATTACGTGCAAAAAATAAGTAATTTGTTATTCAAATGAACATTTGCTATTATTGTTCATATTTATAACTTTGCAATAGGTGATTCATCTTGCACGTAATTCTGATCACCATCAGACTTATTTTGCAAATAAATGAAATTAAAATTTATTTTCCCAATTAAAAAAAAAGTGAAAGGTATGTGCACCTAATTTAAAACTAAATGCATGCGATTCGAAATTGAGTCAGTTTTTAATTTTTTTCTTAAGTATTTATTCTTTATTTTTTAATTTTAATTAGCTCATATTTGTACATGTTTATTTCAGTTATTCTATATCAATTTATCTATATAACAGTAACAATGACTTTAGTTATTCACAAATGAAGAAAATTATGTTATTACCAAGACATTTTTAGGAAAAAATTTCAAAGAGTGCCATTAATGTGAGAAATACTAATTTTCATCGAATGTCACAAATGTTGTCAGAATCAATTATATGTTACTTTTTCTGTAGTCACGGATCCAGTTATATGTTATTTTTTCTGTAGTCACGGATCCATGTTGTCTTAGGATTATTATTTATGATGATAATGGTAATAATGAATAGATTTCATTCACTAATAATGTTATATTTAAACATTTTAAAATATAATGAGTAAAATTTTCAGCATACTTTTTATGATCTCTACATATGTTTTATGATTATATTTTATTTATTTAAATTATAATTTAATAACATCATTTTTTAACATCAGGCCGCGCAACGCGCGGGTGACATACTAGTTAACATATGTCCACCGTAGGCATGTGAGTATTTCCGTAAATTTGTATTAAGGTGGCAGATATGGATGATAGAACAATTAAGAAGATTTCAAGAAATAACTCCACCCAAATTTATTTAGGGATAACAACTTCGCTGATGATTTATTAAAATAAAAATCGGAACGAACATTATTTAGGACGATGGTCGTCTCCAGAAAATTGGAGGCCCCCC